CATTGTTTAGACTCGCATCTCCCTGATGGTTAGCGATACAGAGCATTTTTTTCCATGTGCCTTTCGGCTATTTGTGGTTCTTCTCTGAGGAAGTTTTTGTTCATTTATTTATTTATTTATTTTTTGGTTTTTGGGTCACACCCAGCAATGCACAGGGGTTAACTCCTGGCTCTGCACTCAGGAATGACTCCTGGCGGTGCTCAGGGGACCACATGGGATGCTGGGAATCAAACCCGGGTCGGCCGCGTGCAAGGCAAACGCCCTCCCCGCTGGGCTGTCGCTCCAGCCCCCCACCGAGGAAGTTTTTGTTCATTTCCCCGTCCCATTTTCCGATGGACTTGGCTGCTTTTATCTTGAAAGTTCTACCAGTGCCTGGTATCGCTTTGACATGGACCCCGTACCGGATGGGTGTGGGGTCAGTAATTTCTCCCGTTCCGCGGGCTGTTTTTGTGTCCTGGTCATTGTGTGTGTTTTCTCCTAAACTTTTGTATTTTAACCTGACATAGTCCTAAATTCATCGCTATTTTTGTTGTTGTTGCTGTTGTTGTAGTTGTTGTGTGGTGGTAAAGTTTAGTTTTCCTTTGTGTGGGTGGCGCCCCGCCCCTTCTGTGGATGGCGCTGGTTGACAGGCGACGCTCCTCCGCTGGCCGCCCCTCTGCCCTGGAAATGCCGCGTGGGCACGTGTGCCGGCACCCTCTCGGGTCCCTCACGTGTTTGGAAATTCGGAGTGGGCAGCGGTTCTCTCAGTGCTGCCCACATGTCCTCCAGCGCCACATTCTGGCAGTCACCTTTCCCTCCTCGGTGCCCCTTTCCCCTTTTCTGGGTGTTCCCTGTGTCTCTGACTCAGCTGAGATGCTGTTTCAGGTGAGAGATGGATTTTGACCGTGGGAGAATGGTGGGGGAAGGGGAGCCCGGCAGGTCTGGAGCCCCTGAGAGCAGTGCTCGCCCTGGGGTCGGGGCTTGGCCGGACCAGGCTGCCTCCTAAGGCTTCAGTAGCCCGGCCTGGCTTATAAATGTCTTTTGTCAGGGAATGTCCTGCCACAGAGGCAGGGTGGGATGGGGGATGGGGGGGTGGGAGGGCTACTGGGATCCGTGGTGGTGGAGAATGGGCACTGGTGGAGGGGTGGGGACCCGATCGCTGTAGAGCTGAATCCCAAGGACAAAAATGTGTAAGTCTACAGCTGTGCCTCATGGTGTTTCACGAAGAAAAATTTAAGGGAAAAAAATGTCTTTTGTCTACTTCAAAGACTTATTTTGGTTCTTAATCTGACATTTCACTTATAATTAAAAACATTGATAACTGGAAATCAAGCTTCGTGGCCCAGGAACAGGACGCCAGCTTTGTGTCGGTGTTTGCTGGGATCGGAGCTGTCGTGCTTCGGGCAGCGTCTGTGGCTGTCTCCGTGCCCCCGTGGGGCCGTCGGGGAGCACAGCCCGAACTCTGGCCCCGATGGCACCGGCTGGCCAACGCCGAGGAACGGATTCTCCGGGCGTTCGGAGGCCTGTGAAGATGCATCTGACAATTTTGCCGTCGGCTGTTTCTGGCAGGAGACAGAAATATTTTTATTTTGTTTTTGTTCAGGCCAACTCAATCAAATCAGTTAAACAAGGCTTATGGTTTTAAGTAACAACCAGTGGTTATTATTATTTTAATCTCCGAACTTGTCTGTGTTTAATAGTTTTTCTCAGTGACAGTGGTTAAACTGCTCTAAACCACATAGGCCAGGTTTTAGTGAAATCTAAGGCATTAGAGTAAATCTTTTAACAAGTCTGAGTGTCGCCGTCACCGAGTACAAAGCGCTGCGTTTAGCTGCCTGTGGTGGGCGGGACGCGGGGAATTACCCGGGAGAGCGTGTGCACTGCCTGTTGGGCCCAGAATCGCCAGGAGTTTTCACATTCTGCTCGGCCGGGACTCGCCAAGATTAAACCCACAGATCTGTTCCAACTTGAAGGAAATGAAATTCTACCTTTTGTCTGATTCAAAGACTTTCTTCGGTTCTGTAATGTAACATTTCATTTGTGCGCTGTCTTGGGGGCATGCATTCCTGGCTAATGGGAATGTCTGACAGTTGCATTTTAATTGTCCTAAGTACTTTCTCCCTGCTGTGGATGGAGTCGCCCCACTTTCTCCAGTGCTGGGGAGAGCCGGCAGAGCTTCCCGGGTGGAACACAGGAACCACTGGGCTCGCTGGCGGTCAGGCTGCTGTGACTCATGCCCTTGTGTGGCTGCCGGTCGCCACAGACCGTGGAGTGGGCCGCTGGTGACCCGCCGTGCCTGGGCCTTCCCGGATGGCCGCAGGGAGGTGCAGGAGGAGAGACAGTTCCACAGTATTCTGTTAATGCTCACAGAGGACGGTTGCGGATGTGTTATATTGTATGAGACGGCGGTGACACAGTCTTGAGCTGTTTATTTTCTGGCCGTAGCCCAAGAGGTTCCCAAATTTATGTGACTGCCTACCTTCCTTTTCGGCCCAGCCGGGTTCGATTCCTCCGCCCCTCTTGGAGAGCCTGGCAAGCTACCGAGGGTATCGCACCCTCACGGCAAAGCCTGGCAAGCTACCCGGGATGTATTCAGTATGCCAAACACAGTAACAACAAGTCTCACGATGGAGACGTTACTGGGCCTGCTCGAGCAATTTGATGAACAACGGGAGGACAGTGACAGTGACAGTTTTGTAAAGCAAGTTTTGTTTGCTTGGGACAGTATGACAGTTGCGGTCCCAGTTAATGCGTGACGGGGTCACCCACCAGGCAGGCCTGAACGTCTGTGGTGGGGTGGGTAGCAGCCTCGGTGCCCTGAGAGCAGGGCTGGCCCTCTCGCGATTCACCATGGACGCTGGCACCGAGTCCAGGCAGGCCCGTGCCCAGGGAGGGTTGCCAGCAGGGCGCAGCTTCCTCTCCACAGCTCTGGTGGTGACACCCACTTTGCTGTCCTCTGAGTGGCCAGAAGAGGCTTGGTTGTAGCTGACCCAGATACACAGCTCTTCTGCCTGCAAAGCTCAAATCATAAATGTTGCAAAACTTCATACCAGTCAAGATCTAGGACCGTTAGTCCGGGGCTTACCCGGCACACAGCCGATCTGGTTTTCATCCCCCGAGCACCGCCAGGAACGATCCCCGAGCCCAGAGCCAGGAATAAGCCCTGAGCACTGCCAGGTTTGCTCCCGAGACAACCAGCCGGCCGAACAGAAACGCAGCTGCGTGCAGGCGATGCAGCTGGCGGGACTTCTCTGTGTTCTGATGTTTGTGTCTTTTCTGTGGGGCCTCCCAGGGGGTGGTCAGCAGGCCTGGGGCCGTCCCAGCAATTCTCAGTGCAAAGGCCGAGGGCTGCCAGGTCACGCTGGCTTGCGTGGGGGGACCCTCCAGGGTCACAGGCAGAGGTGGGAGGTGAGGGCGGGGCTCCAGCACACATCCTCTGGTGCCTGTGGGGGTCTGCAGTGCTCCGCGCCCCCTCCCTTTCGCTGCCTCTCTGGCCCTTCGATGGATTCTCTCCCCTGGAAATCGCCATCCTTCTTTGTGTCTTTCTGGAAGTTTTCAACTCGAAGGTGTTTTTCCTTTGCGTAGTGATCTCTGTAAGCGACCTCCTGATCCCGAAAGCGGCCTTGAGTGTCGGCGAGCCCGCGTTCTTACGTTGTCAAGGAAGGTGGCTTACCTCCTTGTTTCCCGGTTTCTCAGGCAGAGTGACTGCTGAACCCTCGACTTCGCTCCCTCTCTGGCTGTTCTGTCACGCAGAAGCCGTCTGCGCCCAGGACCAGCGGGGTGGCAGTTGCTGGGCCTGATCGGTAGAACTCCCGGTTTCCAATGCCCTGTTCACAGAACAAAGTCTGAAGGGCCTTGAAGAGGCAGTAAAGTCCAGGAACAGATCGGGGAGTACATTGGAGAGGAGGAGAACTTGGGCAGGCAAGCTGGGATCTGTTATGCCAAGGGTTCTGCCCACCTGGGTCCCGCTTGCGAAGGCCCCGGGTTCAGGGAGATGGTGATGAATGATGGCAGAGGAGGGACTTCATGCCTGCGGTCCGGGCAGAAGCGGCCTCTGGGGCGGACGGCAGCCGAGCCACACGGTCATTCGGGGCCATCAGCCCTGGTTCCAGAGGGCCAAACGAGCACATTATTCTAGGCTCAGGATTAGTCTGGGTGGATGTCAGATTGTCCAGCACAGCGGTTTTTCTTTCCCATTCAGACGGGGGGCTGTTTTGTTAGAGAATTCGCGGAATGAGGAAGTTGGCTTGTACCTAGGTGCCCTGTTGCACCCAGCAATTCTTGTCTTCATAACTCGGGGTGATAGAGTGGCAGCGGGCTCCTGGCAGAGAGGCCTGTGGCAACAGAGATCCACCGCGGCCTTGTCTCCCGGAAGAGGCTCTCTGCTGCGAGCCCTCTGCCCATCTCCTCCCTCCTGCGCTCCCCCCCACCCCGAGAAGGGGAGCCCCCCTCCCCCCGCTCCCGTCCTATGTGAAGATGATTGTTGCCATGATTGTCCTTACAGGGACGCGGGTGCAGGCTCTGTCTGGGGCGTGGGATGCAGAGGGGCCGTCTGTCTGCCTCGTGTTATTGCGGGGGCTCTCCCGATAGTGCTTGGGGGGTCCCTGGGACCTGGAACTCGGGTAAAGCGGCCATGTGGTGGCAGGGAGGCACCAAGGCCTGTGCTCTGCCACCGAAGCCACCGGGTCTGACGAAGAGCAGATCTTGAGTAAGGTGGCTACCAGAAAGGGCGGCAGTGCCAGGAAAGGGGGGCAGTGTCAGGGCGTGGGGAGCCCATCGTGTGAGTGCTGAGGGGTCTGGCGGGTGCCCCAAACTCCTCTCTGCTGAGTTATCTGCAGAGTGGAAACAGCTGCGGCGGCCTCCATGATAGACGCTGTGTGTCTGCTCTGGGTCTCTGGTTCTGGGCTGTGTCCGGGGCCAGAGTGGACCGGCCCGGCCCATCTCCCACAGAGACGAGTGGGGCATTTGGACACCTGAGGTGCTTTGCTTCTGGGGTTGTAACAAACCCTTTCCTGTTCCAGAGAGACGGCTCCCAGAACCATCTTCCAGAGAGTCCTGGACATCTTAAAGAAATCCTCCCGTACCGTGGAGCTGGCCTGCAGAGACCCGGCCCAGGTGGAAAACGTGGCGTCCAGCCTGCAGCTGATCACGGAGTGCTTCCGGTGCCTGCGCAACGCGTGTATCGAGTGTTCTCTGAACCAGAACACCATCAGGTACTGGGCTTCGTCCCCCACGGGCCTTGGGTCGAGTTCCTTGGTGTTCCGCGCGCGCCCCAGGCCCCTGTGGCTGCTCGGGGTGGTCCTGGCCTTCAGGTGCCACTTGCTGTTGCGGGAGGCCTGCTCTGCTCTTGTCATCCCCGGAGCCGGACCGCCCAGCCCGTGGTAAAGGTGGATGCGACACTCAGCCCCTGGGCTTCCTGCTCCCACCCGTAGCACCGAGGCTGGATTCGAACCCTGGCGCTGCCTGCTTACGCATGTGCGCGCTGGGCCCCCGCTGCCCTTGACTGGAGCGCCCCGCCCACCGTTGCTCTCCTCAGCCTCCCCGGGGTCAGACTGAGCAAGTGTGTTTTCCACGTTTCTTTTAAAAATGAAGTTTGGCAGAGCTGGACCAATAGCACAGCAGGTAGGGCGTGTTTGCCTTGCACGCAGCCAACCCGGGTTCGATTCCCAGCATCCCATAAGGTCCCCTGAGCACGCCAGGAGTAATACCTGAGTGCATGAACCAGGAGTAACCCCTGAGCATCGCCAGGTGTGACCCAAAAACCAAAAAAATAAATAAAGTTTGGCGGCTGTGCCTGGGGCTAGTCCCAGCTCTGCCCGGGGCCACGTGGTGCTGGGTATCAGCCCGGACCTTCTGGTGGGAGGCTCGCCCGCCCACCCGCCCGCCTGCTGGGTGCCCTCAGCCTGTTCTCACCCTCACTGACGCCTCTGGCGGTCTCCGGCTCTACTGAGTTTGCAAAGTGGGCCCTGAGGCACACAGGGAATCCCCAGGGCTCCCCGCCGGGCACCTTCGCCTTGGATTTTTATGGAATTTGCGTTTCATTAAGATTTTCACCTGAGATGAAGTCAGCAGCCACAAGAGCAAGCGCCTCTCTCTCCCGGGGCCTCCAGGCCCTGTCGCTGTTGGGACGGGGGGGCCTGGGCTGGCCCAAAGCCCCCGAATGCTCTCACGGCATCGACAGTCCCACTCGGGCCTTGGAAGTGATTCCTGGGAGTTTGAGATGAGAGGAGGTGGCCAGAGCCTCCAGTCCTGAGCCCAGCTGCAGTTCCCTGGCAGTAACTGGGTCAAGGCAGTGGTCATCTCAGTGCTGGTGGTCAGCGTGAGCGGGGGGCGGGGGGCTCAGCTCGTTTATTCTGTCCCTTCCTGGGCAGGGCCCTCGGTGGGCGTGGGAGGGGAGGGGAGGGGAGGGAGTCTCGGGCACAGCTTGGACTGGGGGCCGGCAACACTTCCCTTGGTGCACGCCAGCCTGCTGGGGCCTGAGGAAGCCCGCATGGGGCCTGCCCGAAGCACCGGCTCCGTCCCAGGAACTCGGTGGGCCATGTCCGGTTTGGCCTCGGAGCCCGTTCCAGAGAGAGCGGCCTCCTGTTTCTCCGTCCTCACAGGACCGTGACGGAGCCTCTCCCAGACGCCCTCGGTCAGTCTGGCTCCAGGTCAGACGCCTGCTGTCCCCATGTCACCACGGGGCAGCCCTTCAGACAAGGGCCTGTGCTGTCCCTGTGGCCACACAGGATGCCGGGGCCTCGGCAAGGCCGCTCAGTGAAGCCTGGGGTGGGCAGGCGCTGTCTTGCTTCTGCCCTGCCTGGGGGCCCCACGGTGATGGCGTTCTCTCCTGCCACGGCGACTCTCGTGCCCGTCTCTGCGTGGAAGGCACCTCTTCCGAACGTTACAAAACACAGTAGGGCGAACCTGATGCCACCATTGTCCGGGGGTCCCCGAAGTCAGCACCCTCACTCCTTCCTGGGGCCTGGGATTGGGTTTGGCAGCCCCACCTGACAGTGCTCAGGACTGACTCCTAGCTCTGTGCTCAGGGATCCCTCCTGGCGAGGTTCAGGGACTCTGAGGTTCTGAGGATTGAACTCACGTTGGTGGTTGCCAGGCAGGCGTCCTCCCTGGTCCCTGATCCGGGCTCTTACTGTTGCTTGGGTTGGAACCAGGGAAGGTTTCTGGGAGTCGCTTCTCCGTTTCCTTCTGGAGTTGTTACTACCCACTGTGGATTTACAGAGAAATTCTACCTTTCATGGTTGAGGAAATTCGATCTTTCATGCTGTGTTTGGGCCTCAGGGGACCATATACAGTGACTTTTTTTGGGGGGGGGAGCTTTTTAGGGGGGTTACCCCGGGTGATGCTTAGGGGTTCCTCCTGGCTCTGCACTCAGGAATCACTCCTGGTAGTGCTCAGGGGACCATATGGGATGCTGGGGATCGAACTCAGGTCGGCTGCGTGCCAGGCAAACGCGCTGTACTATAGCTCTGGCCCCTTAGGTGGGCATCTGTACTGGAGACATAAAATCGGGCTGGCCTGTGCGAGCATGGAAGCGTGCACACATGTGTGCTCACACCCCACGCCCGTGTGGAAGATTTCTGCTCTGGCAGCCAGTTCGAGCCTGACACAGTGATGGTTTAGTGGAGGAAAGGGGTGGCCCAGATCACAGGTGTCTGGGCTCAGCCATGCCCCACATTACAGCTGAGAAAGCCCAGCACTTTCCTCCTGTGGGTCCTCCCCAGCATTTATTAATATTTCTGAATGTAAATAAGGGCCGGAGCAATGGCACAGCGATAGGGTGTTTGCCTTGTGCGCAGTTAGCTCGGCCGAGCCAGGTTTGATTCTTCTGTCCCCCTCGGAGAGCCTGGCAAGCTCCCCGTGACGCATTCGATATGCCAGACACAGTCACAACAAGCCTCACAATGGAGACGTTACTGGGCCCGCTCGAGCAAATCGACGATCAGCGGGAGGACGGCGCTACGTGGCCGAGGAAAACCGCAGCAAGTGGAGAGAAAAGAGGGGCTTTCCCTGCAGGGCCCGCAGCTGGGGGCGTCCCCACAGGGGGAGCGGGGGTTCCCCTCCGGGTTCCAGCAGCACTCAGGAGCGCCCCAGTGTGGAGGAATGTGACTGTCGGGGGTGTGTCAGAGTGCTGGGGAGGGCAGGTGGCTGGCGGGGCCTGGTTTCCTCAGCACCGACGACGACGTGCTCTTCAGTTCCTCTTCGGCCCAGGCGGCCGGGAGAAGAGCAGCTCCCGCCCCCAGCCACAGGCCCGGCCCCTCAGGGTTAGCTTTCCTCGACCCAAGAGCCCTTCCAAAGGCTTTTGGGTGGAGAAAGAGAAGGGTTGGAGTTGGAGAAACTTGGACGTTATTTAGGCATCCCTGGGAAGCATATTGTCCAGTTAGAAATATAAAAGTCTGATAAGAACTTGGAAGTGACCTTAACTAACCACTGAGTTTGGACCTGTCAGGGTTCGGATCAAAACACTCACGGGTGTGTTTGTGTATGAGTGTGTGTATATGTGTGAGTGTGAATTTGTGTGTGAATTTGTGTGTGTATGTGTATGCGTGTGTGATTGTAAATGTGTGTGTGGGGGAGTATTTTGTTGGAATAGGCTAGTGGACTATTGGCCTAACGTGTTTAGGATCGCCAGGCTGTCCTCGTAAGAATCAGGTAATGGAGCCTGAGATGTGAGTCCAAAGCACCGTGGAAAGTAACTGTAGCCGCCCTGGGCCCACCATGGCTGTAGCTTTGGGGGAGGGGCCTTGTTGGCGCTGGTGCTGGATTAGGGTTCTGCTTCCAGCGCACTTCTAAAACTGCAGGGGTCCCCTCTAGCCTAGGTGCTCACGAGGGCACCTTACCCAAGGAGAGTTTCCAGTGCCTTGTGGCTGCCTGCTTGACACGCCACCTTGCCCGGAGCAAGTGTGTGTTTGTGTGTGTGTGTGTGTGTGTGTGTGTGTGTGTGTTTTCTATTTTCAGTAAGTAAAGAGTCAGCCCAGAGGCGTGATGCTGTATGGCCTAGATCTTTGTAGATCTTTTTCCTTTGTTTAAGCATCACACTGTGTGCGGCTGGGATCCTATATTGCCAGGGTCCAGGGAACAGGCTATAAACCAACAAGCCAACACCTATGAAATTTCAGGAAGTTCTCAAAACTGTCCAAAACAGTTCAGTCTGGATATGAATAGAACTTCTTGCAGGGGTCGCCGGTCTCTGGCGGATGGCTCAGTTCTTGCCTTGTGGCGTGGAAGATAAATTTTGAATGACTGAACATGTCTGTGTTCTGATAAATCTGCGTTAGTGAACATGGAGATTTGAATTTCACACATTGTCACATGGTGAAATTACATCCTTGCCCCGGAAACCTGGGCACACAGAAACAGGCAGCAGGGCCACTTGCCTCCATCCCCCAAAGCCAGTTCTTGGGGGGCCGGGGTGTGGCGAGCCCACACCCGGCGATGCTCAGGGTTCCTCCCGGCTCTGCACTCAGGAATCACTCCCGGCGGTGCTCGGGGACCACCTGGGATGGCGGGAGTCGAACCCGGGTTGGCTGCGTGCAGAGCAGACGCCCTGTCACTGTCCTGTCCCTCGGCCCTTCTGACTTTTGTCTTTGAACCCTGGCACAGGAACTTGGATCTGATCGGCATGGCCGTTGACTTGGTTCTTCTCTTCCGTGAGCTGCGCGTGGAGCAAGACTCGCTGTTGACAGGTAACCCATCTGAGTACTTGGTGCCTCTGAAGGGTGGAGAAGGCCGTGTGCTTTGACTCGTCCTCAGAGCGGGTGTTTTCTACCTGATGACGCAGAAAAACCTGGTTGGGGATACTGAGAAATGATCCTGGGGACCCGGATCAAAGGGTCCCCCAAAACCTTGTTTCTGCAGTGTTGCATATTGAGCTTATTTTTCTAGCCCCACCTGATAAATCATAAAAAGGAACTCTGGGTACTCAGGTCGAGGGGCCAGCAGCGGGCACCCATGAGCCTGTCCCTGTCCCCCCCGGCAGGGAACGGCAGTCCGTTCTGAAGGCTGTGTGTGGTGGTTCGGAGCCAGCCGTGCCGTGTGACTGCTGAGAAAGCCCACGTGGGGGGTCCTGTGTCCCTCCCGGCGGAGTGACCAGGCGCAGGGCCAGCCCCTCAGGATGCCTCGTGCACGGAGCCCCGCTCCGCCCGCTGACACAGTAACTTCAGGGTCGCCCCCTTCTCCGGGGCACCTGTGGGTTGCCGTTTGCTCCGCTCCTGTTTGTCATTGTCCGAGTCGCTCCTTGTGACTTCCTGTGCCCTTGGCTCTGCTCTGTCTCAGAGCGGCTGCAGGAGGTGTGTTGGGTCGTGTGGCTGCGGGGCTCGACTGAATAGGATGTCAGGCACTCACAGTCTGGTGCAGTGACCACCGTTTTAATGTTTTATTTTTTGGCTTTTCTGGGTCACACCCAGTGATGCTCGAGTTATTATTCCTGGCGGTGCTCCGGGGACCGAATGGGATGGTGGGGATCGAACTCGTGTCAAACGCGTTCAAGGCAGGCGCCCTCCCCGCTGTACACTGACTCTGGCCCCGTGAGTACCACCTTGAATGCTGACCCTGGCAGCCACCCCCACCTCCCCGCTCTGGTCTTGCCTCTGAGAACACCTCAGGAGATGGAACTTTTTTCCTCAAATTGTGTGACCATCTGTGTCTGGCTTCACTGACCCCGTATTTTGTGTGTGTGTGTGTGTGTGTGTGTGTGTGTGTGTGTGTGTGTGTGTAGGGGATGGCACACCCAGCAGTACTCAGGGCTGACTCCTAGCTCTGCTTTGAATCACTCCTGGTGGTGCTTGGGGGACCCTGTGAGCTGCTGGGGATCGTTCCCGGTGAGCTGTGTGCAGGGCACACCCCTCTCCAGGGTCCTGGCTTAGACCCCAACACGTTTTCTCTCCAGGCCTCTTGGCTTTCGTGCCCGAGCGCTGGGCCTTGTGTGCCTGTGAGCATGTGGGTCGGGACTGCCGCGCACCTGTCTTCCGTTCCCTTGGGCGTAGACTCGGGAGTTGAGTTGCTGGATCAACTTTGTCTTGCAATCCTTAAGGAACGACCAGACTTTCTTTAGCTGCCGAACCGTTCCACATTTTAATCACCCGTGGATAAGGTTCCAGTTTCTCCACATTCTTGCTAGTACGTTTTTTTTTTCCCTTTTTTTGAATTAGAGTCATTCTGATGGGTGCGAAGTGGTATTTCATCGTGGGTTTTGATTTGTTTTTCCCTCACAACTAATGATCCGGAATATCTTTCCATTTGCTTGTTGGCCATTGTCTTGTCTTCTTTGCGGAAAAGAAAAGACTTCACGTCTCTTCCCCAGTTTCTGCGTTGACTGGTCTCTCTTTTTTGTCTTTGAGTTGTCGGAGATCTTGTGTATTATGATGGCCGTAGGTCCGTCTGGGGAGAGTTGGCAGCTGGAGGCGAGTCTTCCAGTTCCTGGGTCTTTGCACTTCAGCGTTGATTTGGGTCTTTCTGAGCAAACCCAGGATTCGTGTGTGTGTGCGGACAGGGTGCTTGACAAGGGCGGCCCTCATTGAGAATTTGATGAAATTTGGTTTCACAGTGGACCTTACAGTGTGATAGTATGTTTGCGACTAATACAAGTCTTCAAGGGCTATTCTAGTTTCTCACACAGTGCCTGCATTACGCTGTGAGAAACTTCCTCTTCGTGTTTTTGCTGGGTGTCTGTGCCAGATTTTTGTTACTACTCTTGAGGTAAGAACTGTAATTACATTGTCAAAATAATATTTAGAGTATTATTTTCAGAGAATAATTGCAGTGGTGTGACGAATATATTATGCTCACCAAATTCTGTGTAAACACAAGCATGAGTTATTTTAATTGGGTTATTGATGTTGTTTTTGGCCTTTATTCTTTCCTAATCTGTAAAAATGTTGGGATTTTTGAGGGGCTTTATAACATTAGCAATATTTACATAAAGATCAGTTGACAAGTTGTTTGGTAAAAGTAACCTATCATTTGTGCTTGTCTGGAGTCTGCTTGTTTCTGGGATGTCGTGAAGCTTCGCCCTCCCAGAACCGTGCTCTGCTTCTGCGCGCTGATCTCGTCGGCCAGCGGGTTGATCTGTCAGTTCGGGTGCCTTTCAGACCTGCTTCTGTTGTGAGCTTCTCTGGTGTGTAAAGTTTTATTTTTTTTTTCTTTTTGGGTCACACCCGGCGATGCTCAGGGGTTATTCCTGGCTCTGCACTCAGGAATTAACACCTGGTGGTGCTCGGGGGACCCTATGGGGTGCTGGGAATCGAACGAGGGTCGGCCGTGTGCAAGGCAAACGCCCTCCCTGCTGTGCTATCGCTCCAGCCCCTGGTGTGTGAAGTTTTACGAGGATCTGAGCGTAAGGACTTTCAAACGTTTCGTGGATGTGTGTCATTTTAACTGTGACATCCTAAGATGTAGGATGCAGGTGGCCTTGATTCCCAGTGTTTCTGTGCGTCTGCTGTTGACCCACTCACGGTCACATGCAGCTGGCCTTGCAGCCAGCCCTCTGGTGCCCTGCACTCCACCCATTCGTGCACACCCCCAGGACGGCCCCCGGAGAGTCGGGTGCGTGGGTGACCTGTCCGCTGTGCGGCCAGCGAGAGTCCCTTCCACTTCTTTGACATTAGGAAGTTGGTCTCCCGTGAAGTGGGGATAAAACTTGCCACTTTCTCAGCTCTGTCTCCCGTGTATGTGACCCACGACAGCCCGAGAGGGGCAGGCGGGCTGGTCCCTGGACTCCAGCGGGCGGGTGTCTCCCTGCAGGGCTAAGCGCTTGCCAGTGGTGACGCAGGCGGGGAAGACCCAGCCCGGCCCTCTGCCCCGGCAGGAATCGGCCCATCAAGGAAGAGAAGACGTCACCCAAGAATCTGAGTTGCAGTGGGAGATTTTGTTCCTGTAAAGGAATTCCCTTTAATGGCAAGAGAATTTCCAGCGTCCTTAAAACTTTCTAAGCTTCTGCTTCGCTGGATCCAGTCCCAAGGCCCCGAGCCTCTCCCCTTGGGCTCTGCCAGGATCGGAGTTCTTTCCGTTTAAACACGGTGGCCTCATTCCCGGCGGAGCACTGGACAGCCAGATGTACAGAGTCACGGTGGGTGAGCCTGCATCGGCACAGTTCCCTCCGGAGGGCATGGTGGAGCTTCTCTCGTAAAGGGTGGGACCCCCTGGGCGCGCACAAGTGTCAGTGACGCCCAGCTGTCTTCTTGTATGTGGCCTGGCTTCACTGTCCTTAAAGCCCTCTGCTCTCCGCCTCTCTCACCTCCCTACCATGTGGCTGTGAGTCCTTTTCTGGAAGCTTCCAGCGTTGGATCCATATGCATTGTGCACTCACGTTCTGGTTCTTCGTGTCTCTTCGGGGCTCGGGAGCAGAAGCCTTTTTATTCCTGAATATGGTCTCTCGTCGTCTGGATGGACCCGTTCACTTTGTTCCTTTCTAACACGGAACCACCTTGGTGGTCTGAGAATTGCGGCTGTTGGAAATGCCTGCGTGTGGGTCTCTGTGTGGACCCAGGATTTCACCTCCCTCGGGCCTGAACCAGGGAGCACTACTGCCGGGCGGGTTGTTCAGTGTGCTTTGTCCCGTAAGAAACCCCAGACTTGCCCGGAGCAGCTGCTTCTGTCTCTGGAGGACAGTCCCCGCTGTCCCACATGCTTGGCCAGCGTCTTCGTCTGGTGACAGATTCTGTGGATGTTAGCCAGGCGTTGAGTTTTGTCAGAGTCTCAGACAAACTGCTTGTTGAGAGCTACTAAAAAGGAAGGCTGAATTCGACTGTGGAATTGTTTCTTTCCTATATACATTTGTCAATTATTCTTTTATCTGTAAGTGTGTGTGTGTGTGTGTGTGTGTTGCTGGGTGATTGAAATTGAAATTGTTTTTATGTTTTCTGGTCATTACGAATAAAAAAATTCAGAAATAATGGTGGTGGGATTGGTGTTGAAATATTGAGTGTAATCAACTGTTGTGAACAACTTTATGAGAATGAAATTTAAAACATATATAAAAACAAAGAGTAAAAATTCAGTCACTGAGGGACTTTGAATAAAAGTCATCCAACGCTGCTTTTTTCTTTTAAGTTCATTCTACCTGAGTTTCGGTGGTGGTGACTTTCCTTTCATGCAGGGGCTCGCTCAGGGACCTGCTTATCATTAACTTTTCGTTCTTGCGTAGCCCCGGGGCTCAGATGTCCGTGAGCACAGGTGTGGAACGTGAGTGTGAGGGTGACTGTCCTCTAACTGGAGGCCATATCCCAGTCGGGCTGGCTGCAGTCCCAGGCGTGTCCATGCCGACGTTTGCCGTTTTCTTCGAAAGAAAAAGGCCGGCGAGACGGCGCAGTCACTGGTGTGCTCCTGCCCGGCCCCTGGGCCCCGTGGGCACCGCTGCCCGTGTGACTGTGGGCACAGGCCCACACTGTGCTGCTGGGCCTCGCTGTGCTCCGGGCGCCTGGAGCCAGTGCCCTCGGCTCACTGAGCCGTCCCAGCCTGCAGACCTGGTAGGGTTTTTTTGTTTGTTTGTTTTTTCGTTTTTGGTCTTCTTGGGTCACATCCGGCGATGCTCAGGGGTTACTCCTGGCTCTGCACTCAGGAATTACTCCTGGCGGTGCTGGGGGAATCGAACCCGGGTCGGCCGCGTACCAGGCAAATGCCCTCCCCGCTGTGGTATGGCTCCGGCCCCGGACCTTGTGATATTAAGGTCGTTCCCCAGGTTTCCTGTTTCATGATGCACAGATCGATGTTAAGATGTATCACTCGTTGCATTGAGATGTTGACCATCTGTTTTTCTCACTTTTGCCAACCCTCAGCTTTTCGCTGCGGCCTGCAGTTTTTAGGCAACGTGGCGTCCCGGAACACAGAGTCCCAGGCTGTCGTGTGGATGCATGCCTTTCCTGAGCTCTTCCTGTGAGTACGTGACTAGGAGTTTGGGAGTTTTCTGACTCGTGAGGAGATTGTGGTTGTATCATTCCATTTACATCAAGTTCAGAACTCACCCTTCGGAACAGAATTCAGGAGCCTGGTGGGTCTCGCAGTGAGAGCGGGCAAGGTGGCCGCTCCCTCAGAGGGCAGGCGGAGCTCCTGGGACCCGGGTCTGCGTGCTGCTACGGGGTGTCCAGAGCCCAGCGCATGGAGCGCTACGTGAAGATACGTGCGTTTCATCGTGGGAAGTTTTCACGACAAGAAAAGAAAAGTTTTTTGGGCTGGAGCGATAGCACAGCGGGTAGGGCATTTGCCTCGCACACGGCCGACCCGGGTTCAATTTCCAGCATCCTATCGGGTCCCCTGAGCACCACCAGGAGTAACTCCTGAGTACAGAGCCAGGAGTAACCCCTGTGCATCGCTGGGTGTGACCCAAAAAGCAAAAAAAAAAAAAAAAAAGAAAAAAGTTTTGACTAAAATAAGAAATACTGTTAAGTAAATTTATAAGAGAATTCCAAATGGAGGAAATACTGGAATATAGGCAATTAATTTGCCACATGTTTGTCGAGAGCACATCCTATGTGCCCAGCACAGCTGTCCGCGCTTTGGACGACCTGTGGCCTGTGGCTTTCCAGCCCGTTGATGTGTGGGACACGGCATGGCCCTAGCCATCTCCACCTTGTTCTGACCAGCTCTGCTCCTAGAAGTTGAGCGTGGAAATGAAAGGCCGGGAGTCGAGCCAGCCTAGGTCGGAAAGTGCCGCCGGGAGGGGAGTCCTGGTTCCCACCGCGCTCTCCGCTGCCCAGTGGGGTGTCCTGGCGGCAGCAGGCCAAGGAACAGCATCTGCTGTTGCTTGAATGCCCCGAACATCCGCTCTGGGAACAGATGCTTCCCCGATGCTGGTAACCGGCCTTGCCGGACTGGAACTCCTGTGCCATGCCTGGAGCTTCCCCGGGGCGCAGGGCTGTCGGAGGCCGGTAAAGTCGGGTCTTGGCGGCGGATAAACTCACTCGAGTCCCTCGCTGGCTCTCAGATCACTGCAGGGTGCGTTGAAGGTATGAAATCTTTATAATAATGAGACTTAGGTGGAAGGAAAGAAACGAGGAATTCGAGGTACAGAAATACAAAGGTAAGGGGCTGGAGCGTTAGCACAGCGGGGAGGGCATTTGCCTTGCACGCAGCCAACCCGGGTTTGATTCCCAGCATCCCATAGGGTCCCCCGAGTACCACCAGGAGTATTTCCTGAGTGCAGAGCCAGGAGTACACCTGTGCATTGCTGGGTGTGACCCGAAAAAGGAAAAAAAAGAAAAGGAAAAAAACCAAAACAGAAATAGAAAGTCCAGGCTTCACGTAATGGTTGTTCATGAAACCAGGATGTTAGTGAAACGGCCTAACGGAGAGCCAGCCCTGGAGGGGCTCCTTCGGCCGTGGATTCTCTTGCCAGCCTTAAAGCAGAAAGTCACGTTGAGGGGCTGGAGCGATAGCACAGCGGGGAGGGCGTTTGCCTTGCACGAGGCCAACCCGGGTTCGATTCCCAGCATCCCATAGGGTCCCCTGAGCACCGCCAGGGGTAATTCCTGAGTGCAGAACCAGGAGTAACCCGTCTGTGCATTGCCGGGTGTGACCCAAAAAGCAAAAAAAAAAAAAAAAAAAAGAGTCCCGTTGATGGGCACAACCTTCCCTGGCGCCCTGGTGTGCTTGTTCCAAAGCGTTGAGATCCCCCCGCATCCTTCGTCATAGAAGCGTGTCCGGTTTTCCGTGGGGTCGTTCCTGTCCTCTGCCACTCTCATCCTGTTGCCAGCGGGACTAACATTCTCGTCTCTGCTCGTGAAAGGTCTTGCTTGAACCACCCGGACCGGAAGATCGTTTCCTACTCTTCCATGATTCTCTTCACGTCTCTCAACGCCGAGAGGCTGAAGGACCTGGAAGAAAATCTCAACATCGCCATCGACGTGGTGGACGCTCACCGGAGGCAGCCGGAGTCCGAGTGGCCGTAAGTGTCTCGGGGGGGCCGAGAACCCCGCGGGGCCTGGAAGCGGGAGACAAGGTCCGGGCGGGTGTGGGGGCGGGTGCCCGGGGTTCAGCCCGGGTTCGAGCCCCATCTGTGTCTCGTGGTGTCCGTTCAGCTGAGGCTGTCGCCCTTATGTCCTCGGTCCATGATGAGTTATTTTCCTCTCTGGTTGCTTTTGGGTTTTCCTGACTTCCAGATGTCGTGGGGTGAGTTTCCGGGGCTGTCGTCCGGGCTCCCCCAGCAGGAGCCGGTAGGTCTCCGCCTTCCGCTGAATTGAGACTTTTCAGCCTTAATTCGCGCATCCTCTAGCCCACGGTCTTTTTCTTCCTAGTTGTAGCGGGGATTGAACCCGGGTCTCCGGCATCCAAGGGGCGCGTTCTGCCCCCGAGCCCCAGCCCTGCCTCTCAGCCCCGTTTCCTTCTTCCCTCCTTCCTCGAGTGTCCAGTTTGCACACAGGCCACTGCAGGGCCAGAGCCGAAGCAGACGATGTGATGACGCACTGGCCTCCGCACAGCCTGTCACGGCCGCCTCCCCCGCGGTCACTGTCACCTGAGAGCTGTGCGGGGTGCTGAGATGGGTGCTCCTGGGTACGGAGACTCCCTCTGCTATGGGGAACCCTCCCCCACATTAGACACACACACGCGCGCGCACACACATGCCCAGCTCAGCTCCCTGCGCCTGTTCCCTCCGTGTCCGGCCTGGACGCCTCTGCTGACACTCCGAGGAGCCCTTCAGCTCGGCGCCGGGGGGCTGAATCAGCCTTGCCATTGTTCAGCAGAGCAGCTGGGATTTTGACAGAGGTGACATGAACCTAGATCAATTGGGGAATATCGTCGTTTTCAGTAGGTTTTTTTTTTGTCTCATTTTCAAACGTCCATCGGCTTGGGGCCGCACCCTGGCGGCGCTCAGGGGACCGGTCGTGCCGGGCATCACCCCCGCAGTCCTGGACTGAGCCTTCCAGCCCACCAAGAGGGGGATTAGCTGTTCTCTCTGGAGGGCAGTGGTGCCCGGGAGGCCTGGGGCCGTGCTGAGGCGGAGGGGGCGGAGGGCAGGCGGGGCCGGGCCTTGGACTCACGCCTTCCAGCCCTGCCCCACACCTGTTTGGTAATCTGGTCATTTATAAGTCCTGGCATGTTTTTTGTTGCTTTGTTTTGTGTTTGGACCACACCTGGCGGTGCTCGGGGCTAACTCCTGGCTCTGCACTCAGGGATCACTCCTGGTGATACTTGGGGGACCCTGTGGGGTGCCGGGGTTCAAACCAGGGTCAGCCGCACCCTGCCTGCTGTACTGTCGCTCCGGCCCTTTGGCTTTTTTTTTTTTTAAATTTTATTCACTATTGACATTTTTTGATACTGTTATAACATCAAAAGTGTGCTTTCCGGACTTTCTTGATTTGATTTACGAATTGTTAATTGCGAGTTTATCGACGCATGACCAAGGGGCCGGGGAGATACGGGTGGGCGCGCATGGTCCAGGGCCTCTTGGGCCCCTGGTACCTCAGCGCTGCTGGGTGTTGCTCTGGTGGCTCTTGATAGCCAAGTCACCCATCTTGCACCACTGGGCTGGCATCCTTGGGAAGAAGCTGGGGGCCAGAGAGAGAGAGGACGGCTGGGCAGGGCACTCGCCCTGTGCACGGCTGACCTGGTGCCCTCCCTGGCTCTTCTTTTGCTTCCCCCAAGCACCCGCAGGAGTGCTCCCTGAGCACTGCCGGCATGGCCCCAAATGAAGAGGCTTTTGCGTTCACCTGCTGTCTTCCAGATTTGCCAGGCTCCGTAGTTCTCAGTGCTCTGTGATGGCTGTAGGTTCCCGTGGCTCTGCGCCCTGCTGGGTACGCCGAGTTCATCTCACTTTCCTGCCTGCTTGCCCCGAGCAGCGCCCCTGTGACCTGGAAGCCCCTGCCCGCCCTTCCTCCTCTGCGCCCTGGGTTGAAGACCTGCGTGTCACTGGGTTCTGTTGGCCTCGTCACGGTCATGGCGAGCCAGCTTGAGAGCCGTTAAACCAGCTCAGGAGCATGGGCACAGACTGCAGAGGCTTGCTGGTGGGACCCGAGATTCCCAGACTTCGCGGCCTGCTGCCCCCCGTGGAGAAGGACTCCCTCGGCTCCCCTGGAAACGCACCTTCTCTCTCGGCGGACCCACGCGCGTGCCCGTGCTCCTCCCCTCATCGTTCCTGTAGTTTTCTCCTGTCTCCGTGGCTTTGTCTGGCTTGGAGATCAGGCTAATCCTGTCCCCCGAGAATGTGTGTTGGAGTGTTCCCTTTCTCTCTGGGCTATTGTTATTTTGGGGCAGTGTGTGAAGTGGCCCTGGGAGTTCTCCGTAAACTCCGGTGGAAATTACCCGCGGAGCCATCTGGTCTCGGCCTTTTACTCAGGGGTGTGGGGAGGGTTCGAGTCGCACTGCAGCAAACGTTTGCTCAGCGGAGGACTTCAGCTGCCCCCGCTGGTCTTCCATGGCCCTCCTGGTCTCCTGGTCCCAGCCGACCCCTCCTGGACTCAGCTTGGGTGCCGCCCACGTAGGAGTGCTCCATTCGGCCTCAGTACTCTTGATTCGTCGTTCTCAATTCTTTATCGTTTCATTCCCTCAGAATCATGTCCCCTCTTCATTACTGATTTTAATTAATCCTTTTATTCTCTCTCTGGGTCAGTATAGTTTTAAGTTTTTTGCTTTTTTTTTTTTTTTTCAGAGAAGCATCTTGGTTGGTTTTTCTCTTGTGCGTCTTTTTTTAAAATTTTTTGTTTGTCTGTTTCACTTCTTTCTGCTGTAATCATCATGACTCTGCTCAGAGTTTAGTTTGCTTTTTCGTAGTTAATGGGAGATTAGGTTTTGAAGACTCGCCTTTTGTGTGGACATTGACATCTAGGCCTGTCTTTGTCAGAACTGCTTTAGTTCTAAAAGCTGCTGTTGCGTTTTCATTTTCGCTTACTCCAAATTTTATTCTGATTTCCTTTGACCTATATTTCCTTTGGCCTGTTTTTTACTAAGAACCCTGTTTGCATTCCACATTTCTGCATATTACTGATTTTTAGTTTCATATCATTGTGGTCTGCGAACAAACTGACTTGAATGAATTCACTTGTGGTGCCAGGGTCTGGCTCGGGCCTCGCCCTGCAGGGTGAGCTATACCCTGTGTCTTAGGAACATATTTAATTTGATTCTTTAAAATTCCGCCCCTGGGGGCTGGTGCGATAGCACAGCAGGGAGGGCATTTGCCTTGCACGCAGCCAACCCGGGTTCGATTCCCAGCATCCCATAGGGTCCCCTGAGCACCACCAGGGGTAACTCCTGAGTGCAGAGCCAGGAGGAACCCCTGTGCATCGCCAGGTGTGACCCAAAAAGGAAAAAAAAAATCCACAAATAAAATTCCGCCCCTCCCCCCATGCTCAGGGCTTCCTTCTGATCTCTGGGCTCAGGGTGGGTCCTGGCAGAAATGGATCGACCCTCTGCTATGCCAGGGATCGAGCACATGCCGGCGCCTTCCCTGCTGGACTGTCTCTCTGGCTTGTCACGTTGTCGTGGTCGTTTTCTAGTGCTGTTCTCCTGTTCTCCAGAGCAGTTTTCGGCTTTGGAGGCAGGAGGGGCACCTCCCAAGTGGTGTGCAGGGCACCCATGGGCCTTCTCCGGCTCCTTGGCCAGCCAGGCCGGGGCGGGGCGGGCGGGGGGGTGGCATGTTTGACCATGTTGCCGTGAGTGACCTGAGCTTTCCCTGGGCTGCTGGGTTGTCTCTAGAGCTGCACCCCCCTCCCCCCCAAGGAGCTCTGTGGACCTCGTACCAGCGATTGAACCTAGGGCGGTCCCGTTCCTCCCTTGAGCCCTCGGGGCCCTGCGCGGTGGTCACTCTGGGGTCTGCGTGGTCTCAGGGTGGGAGACCCCGTCTGTATTTCACAGGCGCAGAGGAAATTTCTCCGTTCTGGCCTCTTCCGGTGTGAAGCTCTCTATCCTTCCTTAGAAATTACATGTAATTTTAGAATTATTTTTCTAAACATTCATTTCTGTTGCTAATTACTGTGCACACACAAGCAAGTCGGTACTTTAAAATGTGGTGGCCTTGGTGCCTAACTCGGCCGCCGCCGCCGCCACCCCCCCCCCCCCACGGCGGCAGATGAGTCACTGGATTCAGCCGCTCGGGGTGGTGGGGGGGTGTCTCCCGTACCCACTTGTGCTTTTTCTTGAGTTTCTCGGGCTGACGTTTTGACCTTCTGCAAGCTTTTTCTGCAGTATGAAGAGCAAAGATCATCAGGGGCAAAATAGAAAATAAATTTGGCCTCGCTCGGCTCCATCGTCAGAAGGGTGGGGAGGCAGGGTGGGAGAACAGGAGGTGACGTGCCCTTCACCCCTGGACACTGACCGGCGGGCTCACGTGAGAGGAACTCTGCGTTTTTGAACAGAGGAGGTAAAAGCCATCCCAAGATTTCTGGCAAAGCTCGGAGCTGCCAAGCGTGCCTCTCCCGGGTCCCGTGTCGGAGCCCGTGGGTTCCGGCTCTTTTCTTGGACGGGGACAGGTGTCGGGTCGCCGCTGCTTTGGGGCCCGCGTGGAGGGCGGCGGGTGCACAGGAAGGCGTGGGTGAGGAGGCTTGGGCGCCACGCCCTCGGGCGATTGGGGTAATGGCCTTCTAAAAATGTTTTGTTTTTTCGTTTGTAGGTGTGCAAGATGTTTTCATGCTCTTAGATAACCCTCCGGGAAGCCATGGAGCTCGGGGGCTGAGTGTTGGTATTACAGTTTTTCTAAATCTGACAGCCAGCTAGTGCCAGAGGGGAGTGACAGCTGAAGGCAGGGTGGGACTGGCTTGCGCGCACGCACGCGCATGTGTGTGTGTGTGTGTGTGTGTGTGTGTGTGTGTGTGATCTCTTTCACCCTGTCACCTACACATCTGAGATGAAGCCCGTGGCCAAGACCAAGGGCACAGCAGAGTCGAGTGGACGGTGGGGGCTGCAGGGCTGTGTCTTCTCTCAGACACGTGACGCTGGAGTCCCAGTTTCTGGGGAGGAGACCTGCATTTTAGTTTGGGCCCCTTCCGCCATGAACTTCATCATCCTCTTGAGTTTGACAGCTTCACCGGGAAACACTGATAGCGAAGAGAGAAGCAAACCTTGTTCATATTTGGGTGAGGTAGAAGGTTGGGGAACGCGTGAAACAGCCCAGCCCAGCAGCCGAAGTGTAATTCCGCTGATGTATCTCTCCTGTGGGGAGGGATCAAGACTGAGAGTTGGACAGTGGTGGTCAGGGATGAGCAAGGATACCTGGGGCCTAGGTGTTGGGTCAGAGAAATAGGACCGCAGGTGGGGTGTTCGCCTTGCACGGAAGGAACCCACCCAGGTTCCATTCCTGACACCGCATCTGGTTCCCTGAGCACAGCTGGGGTGAGTACTGAATGAGAATCAGGAGTGAGCCCTGAGCACTGCTGGGGATGGCCCAAAGATACAAAACGAAAAGAAAAGAAAAAAGAAAAGAAGAACGCTGCTTTGAAAAAGCACCCCTGTTGGCTTTGGGACTGGTCTGTATCTTGACCGTAATGCTGGGTATGTGAGCGCATCCATGTAATAAAATTTTATAGAGCTAAACAGAGGAACACGTGTACACACACACACACACACAACAGGCGATCTGAGTGAGGCCTGGGGACTGTGGGTCAGCTGTCCTGTGCAGTCTGAGCTAATACCTCCTCCTGGGGAAACCGTGAATTTGTTCGCAGAGTTTTCCTAGCACGCGTCTTAAAGCTGCGTGTAAATCTCAGTTGGAGTGCAGAGCCGTCTTGTTCTGCCGACTGTGCGCGGGGGGTGTGACCTGGCACTGTCCGCAGCGGGAAGTGGAATGCTGAGGCTGCACACAGGGGTCTGAGACGACAGGGCCCGAGCGTGGCGGCATCAGCTGCGCCCCTCGCGGTTCCCCGAGGCCCGGTGGCTCCTCCCTTCCCTCTGGTTTCTGTGGAACAGACGTTGGTACCTCTCTCGGGAGCACTTCTTTGAAATCTTTCATCGGTGACGGCCTGGAGTGAGGGGACAGCGGGGGGAGTCCGCCTTGTGCACGACAGAGCCAGTTTCTACCCCAGCACAACACATGGGCCCCCACGCCCTGCCAGGAGTGATCCCTGAGCACTGAGCCAGGAGTAAGCTCTGAGCATTGCTGAGTGTGCCCCTCATCCTCCTCCCCCCCACCCCCCAGAAAAGAAATCTGTTCTTATTGAGAAAGAAAAGGAAGATGATTTATAGACTTGATCACTTGACTTGATCACTTGACTTCCCGTTAATCATCGATTTGCTCGAGCGGGCGCCAGTAACGTCTCCATTTGTCCCCGTCGCATGCTAGTGTAGCCCAGTGGCGTCTGTTCGTTCTAGGAACACGAAGAGCCTCAAACCGATCGTTCATGGTCTTGATGAAGAAGTCTGACCATCTGGTAGGTGGGCGGCCACGCGGTCTTTTGACGTCCCGTGGAATCCAGTCGGTAACGGCTCTAGTCCAGCGGTCGTCCCTAAATCTCTTTATGTGATCTCATTACGTGTCCACCTGCCGATTTATAGACACTGGGGGAAATGATATAAAATGTGGTCATCACTCTGACATCAGCCAACGTGGGCTGCGAACGTCAGTTTCTGGGACAGGTCCTGAAATGAGGAATTTTCAGATTAAACGGAGGGCTGCTGACCGCTCACCCAGGCCAGCTGTGCCCAGAGGGTGTCCGACCCTGGGCGTGGACGCGGGTCACCTCTCCTTGGGCAGTGACATCTGCGCTTCCCAAGAGCCTTTGAACGTGGGAGAAAGCTGGGGCCGAGCTCGGAGCAGCGTTTCATGCAGAGAAGTAAGACTGGAAATCAGGGCTGGCGGGCTCTGCCCGGCAAAGACAGAGCTCGGCTGGAAGCCAGGAAGTAGGAGGAAGACCGAAAAAGCGGGCAGAAGTCGTTGTGTGGAAAGCAAAGCAAGAGAAACGGTCCCTGGAGGCGTGGGTTCTTCAGGGTCGAGCGCCGAGGGCACAGGAGCAGCGTGTGAGAGGCCCGGGGGTGGGGGGCGTCGGGGACTGCGCCTGCATGCGGGATGGTCCTCTGGTGGCTGCCGTGCCCTGACCCTGGACCGTCCTGTCCTTCTGTGGTTTTCCTGAGGCCCTTGGTCGCCTCTTGCAAAGTCTCCTTCCCCTCAAGGAGGGATCTGTTGATGGCTTCTGGGCTCTCCTTCATCCCCGCCTCTCCCCCACCTTCCCATTAAATGGAGAGAGAGAGGGAGAGAGGGAGGGAGGGAGACTGAGAGACTGAGACTCAGGGGCTCTGGAGGTGCAAGGGAGACACATTTTCTCTCTGCCAGCCTTTCTGGACTGTTCAGAGTTTGGAAACTAACACAATGCTTGGGTTGTCGTGGTTTGCTTTGGTCGTCCTGCGCCCGCCCTGTTAGAGCTGGGGGCCCGGGCTGGGCTGGAGAGACCGTGAGTGCCGGGGCCGAACTGGGGCCCTGCTGCCTGGAGGCACGAGCTCGGCCCTGGCGCCGTCTCCCCGTTCTGGGAACAGCGTGTTTTGCAGGCGTGTTCTTGCAGGAAAATACTTTGAATTCCAGGTAACCGAATGACAAACGAGCATGAAGATCACGGTGTGTGGACCTCACCTGGAAGAGCACGTCATGGTCTACCTCGGTTGATACGAAAAGGGAAAATTTTCAATACTAGTCATTACTTGGAGAAATGTTTTTCCATGATAGTACTGGTCAGTTATATTAACGTTTGTGAGAGAAGAGCATCTATTTCTTTAAACGACAGAAAAGAGCTTTCGGAGCTGGGGAGTAACCCCAGGGTCTCACACCTGCGAAACACGTGGTGTTTCTCCCCGGGACTCGATCCAGCCCCAGATCCTGTCCTCGTGCGGGATGTCCCCCTGCTCCCCCTGACAGACCAGTGAGATCGCTCCCTTGCCGCCTTCCGAGGGGCCGGCAGGTGACTCGGTGGCGGAACCCCTGCGTCCCGCGTTGAGTTCTGTGAGAGTGCGAGCTGGAGAAACAGACGGGGGTCCGAACTCCAGACACTCCCTCCCGCCTTACAGACGGCGGGTTCTTCAGTTCTTAAGTCTCCTCATGCCCTCTGGTAAATGCGACTTAGAATTAATTATTAATACTCTTCAGTCTTTCGAGTTGTCATCGTGGCACTTTGAAGAAATATGCTGGTAATCTTGGCCTTGGGGTTGCCATCGGCGGATGCCTTCAGCTCAGGTGCGCCTGACAGGGGGGATGTTTTCTCGGTAACTCGAGAGCCTGGGGAGGGCGGACCGTCCGGCCAGCGTCGGGCTCTGTGGCGGTTTACGTTGGATTCAGAGGTCGGGCCTGGCCGGGCCTGGTCAGCGGCCGCACCGAGGTCCTGCTTTCAGTTTGCGCCTCGGCGCGGTGCTGGGTTCTGACCGTGGGAGAACTGTGTTCAGCCTTTCTCGGCGGCACTGGAGGTTTTTCCTCAGCCACGCGCTTTCAGCGTGCCTCAGAGCGTCAGAAAGGAACGTGGAGACGAATCCTTTGAGGCTGGATTGAACCTTTCTTGTGGGTAATAGAAAAGGAGTATGCAGCTCTCCTGAAATATTTTATGATGATGGTGAATCAGAAATTCAGTAACAGGAGTGCTTGTATCTACGATAGCCTTTAAAGCCCCTTCCCTTCGCTGTGTTTCTAGTAACCCTGCTGTTCTCCTCCTTTTTCTAGGTACCTGGTTATTTCCGAGCATTTTCTGAGAAGCCCAGATATGGTGCAGACCCTGTATGCCAAAATGAGCAATCAAGAAAGGTAACAACCTCCCCCCGACCCCAGCCAGCGTGGCCCTGCGTGTTCCGCATTCCGGCTCGGGTGTCTGGCGCACGCGACCGAGGCGCTGTGGTTTCGCAGCTGGCGCGAGACCTCCGACTCGCTGCGTGTGTGTCATTAATGTTTTTCAGCGGGGCCGGTTAGGGTTTCAGCCGCTCGCGGGGCGCTGCAGGGTCCGGGCTGGCGTTGACGTTCAGGGAGCGCATCGGAAAAGAAACGGCTTAAAACAAAACACCGGGCGGATGCCTCGGCGTCCACGCAACCATGCCTGCTGGGGCCGTGTGTTTGGAAGGGGCTCGTTGGTGCCCACGGCGGGGACGGTGACGGGATCTGCCGCACCAGGCTTGGAGTGGCCGGATAGCCAGCTCCTGTCTCTACCTGTCCGCCATCTCCCGGCGGGCACACTCGCCGGGCAGAGCCTGGCCCCGAGCCTTCCTCGGGTGATCTTTTTTTTTTTTTGCTTTTTGGGGGGCTGGAGTGATTCGGGTAGGGCATTTGCCTTGCATGCGGCAGACCCAGGTTCGATTCCTCTGTCCCTCTTCGAGAGCCCGGCAAGCTACCGAGAGTATCCTGCTCGCACGACTGAGCCTGGCAAGCTCCCCGTGGCGTATTTGGAAGGACAGTGCTACGGTGCTTTTTGGATCACACCCGGCGATGCACAGGGGTTGCTCCTAGCTCTGCGCTCAGGAATGACTCCTGGCAGTGTTCGGGGGACCCTATGGGATGCCGGGGATCAAACCCGGGTTGGCCGTGTGCAAGGCCGACGCCCTCCCTGCTGTGCTATCGCTCCGGCCCCTCCTTGGGTGATCTTGGCTACCGTCGTTCCCTTTTAAAATTCCGTTCCTGACCTCTAGAACCGGCAGGTTGAGTACAGATACTCACAGGCCTCTCTGCGGATGTTCCCAGCTGGGAACATCGCCCTAGGAAAAGCCAGCGGGAAGCTAGCACTGCCCATCAAGCCCTTTGAAAAATGTTAATCTTCTGATTGTAGTCCCAATTTCTGTAATTGCTGTGGCTTTCAAACCCTCCCTGTGCGCGGGCTCCCACAGCCAAGCGCGATGCGGCCCTTTGTACTCTTGTGGAGTCGTGTGTTTTTTTTTTTTTTTTCCAGTTTTTCCCTCCCTTTAATGTTTCTACCCCAAACGGGAAGGACATGCTTTTCAAGTTAGTTCCAATACCTGGTTTGTCTGACCAGGAGCCCACGCCCTCCCGTCTGCGCGGTCACACTGGCCAGCTGGGTGGGCGCTTCACCCCGGGGCGGCCTGCCTGGCCACTTTGGGACCCCACAGACGGCGGCACGCGCAGCGCTGTGGCCCAGACGCAGAATCAAGCCGGTGCAGTTGTGCCTTCATTCTCCACAGCCCTGTGAGGTGACCGGTCTTCAGCCTGACCCCTCTCCTCGCCAGATGAGGGTGACCGATGACATATTTTCTATTTCCATTTCTAAGAGCGTGGGCGAGGCGCCTTCCTGCCGGACGTGAGTGTCTGCGCGGACGCGGCTCCCCTTGATGCCCTGCCAGGGAAGGCTGCGTCTCATCCCTCCATCCCCGGACTGAGCGCTGGGTCCTGTCACGAGGGCTTCATTCCCTGGAGGTGACGCTGGCGCCCCCTCTGTGCACGAGAGTGTGAGGGCCCCAGTGGGTGTCCTTAGCTCCCGTAGTCACTTGCCGAGCAGGGCCCATCACAGTCCTCGCCCCTCCTCAGCTCAGGATCCGGGCGTGGTACCTGAGCTCTGTCGGGTGTCGGGGCTCAGCTGGGTTCAGCTCAGTTCTTGGCCTGTCCCACGGGAACTCTGTTCCCTGGACTCCTGACCCGCCCTGGGCACTGCTTTGAGCAGCTGCAGAGTTCAGGAAACTGTCCGCTCGCGAGGTGACGGAGTGTCCATGTGGTCGCCTGGGATGGCCTCGGCCTCTTCCCTGTGGGGTGAGCCAGGGCTTTCTCCTCTAGGCCAGAAAGTCTGTCGCCCGGCTCCCGGCCCTGGGAATGAGCAGTTCCGCCAGACCCTCTGACCCTTTGGGAGATCACGTTGGTGCCCCCTTTCCCAGACAGGCTCGGTACACAGAAACCCGAGGGAGGACCTGAATGGATTTCTTCAGCTCCCGGAAGTCGCCGTACGCGCTGTGTCCTGCCGAGCGGGGGCCTGGCTTAGAAAACGCGAAGGCTTTTTGGGGGCGGCGAGGTAGGGATTGTGGAGGAAGGCTAAATGTGGTTGAGAAACTTACGTACATATAATTTGTCCCCTGACAGAGCTGAGACGTTGTCCTTCTAAATCAGTTCCCCACCTTCACATATAGCACCTCTGGACTAGATTTCGGTTAATCTTAAACATACACACACGCTCCAGCATCCGCACGGGGCTGGAGATCGTCTGGGGCGCACGGGCTCTTGTTTTGCACGTGCATGGCTGCCCTGGGTTTGAGGTCGGGCACCGCGTATGGTTCCCTGAGCATCTCTGGGAGTGGTCCCGGGATGCAGAGAGACCTGCCCCCCGTAGGCGTGATGGGACGTCTGCTCTCCTGGTGGTGTTTAGAGGGGGTGCTTCTGTCGTCCCCGCGTCTGCTCACGTCGCTGTCCCAAACGCTTCCGTCTTGCACAGTGCTGGGCCCCACTGCCCCGCCGTCTCACGGGGCGTCTGTTCTTTGTTGACTGACCTGTGTCACGGCGGCAGCCCCCTTCCCTAACAAACCCGAACCGCTTCCCCAGTACATCACGTCCCGCCTGTCTGTCCGTCCTTTGGCACTCGTTGGGTTGCCGTGCCCGTCGCGGCCTGGCCCGGCTGCTGCAGACACGGACGGGCAGTGGCCCTGTGTGCGGGTCCCGTCTGCTTCCCCCTATCTCCTGGTCTGCTCCCAGCTTGGGTTTGGCTGCCTCGGTGGCGTCTGTGATCGGTTAGGGGACGTAGCGATGGGCGGACTTGTCCCCCGAGAAGGAGGTCGGGAAGCTAGCCACGGGGACACACCTCGCGTGTACCTGACCTGGGTTTGACCCCTGGCAGAAGCCTCAGGAGCATCCCGGGATGCAGGGGGACCGCAGTGCCCTTGGCGCTGCAGAGTCCTAGCATGCCCCGCCGGCCTCTGGGCCCTGCTCGGGACCTCCCCTACCTGCTCCGTGCCTGCCCGGAGACACGCCCAGGGCAGGCTGTGGATAGAGAGGTGCTCCTCCCGGAACGAATGGCCGCTGACCGGCATGCTCCTCCGGCGGGAGTGTCCACCACGCGCGGGCGAGGAGGGGCCGGCAGCTGAGCCCCCGGCTGCTGCAGCGGGAGAGGGGTTTTACTGGAACTGGCCTCCGTAGTTCCCGTTTCATGTGGTCTCCCGGCCTCCGCCAGGATTTCCCGCTGCAGCGGACGTTGTTTTCAAGACGGGGCGGCCAGAAAGGTCCTGGCTCGGCCTCGGGTCTTTCATCCCTTGCGCCCTCCAGATCGCACATGGACACACATGGAAGCAATTGCGCCATCCCAGCAGTTTTTGATCTCTTTGACCACGTAGGATGAAAGGAAACGGGGCCCCAGTGGAGGGGGGGACATGCCACTGCGCGGGGTGGACGCAGGCAGCTCACACTCTTACCCGCTGTGGTTTGACTCGCGGCAGCGGCGCTCGGCGTTGCTTCGTTTCAGTGAGTCACTCACTGCACGGGGCGCGCCCGGGTCCCTCAGACACGTGCTGCCCTCGACGCGCCCCGGGGCCTTCCTGTGAGCTGCCGCTTCCGGCGGTGATGCCTGGCGGGGACAGGTCGGGTAAGGACGGCCGGTGCGGATACAGGTCGGCGTGGGCACCGTGCTGACCCCGCTGTCCCCGCCCCGCCCTGGGTACTTCCACTGCCCTGAGCACCGCGGCCGTGGTCTCTGTCCCAGGCTCTGCGGGCAGCCAGGGTTTGTGCTCGTCACCAAACACAGAGACTCTTGCCTGCCAGCGCTTCTCTTGTCCTTTTGCCCGGATTCTGCAGAGTGGCCGCTGAGGGGCCGGCCTGGACGCTTGGACGCAGGGTTCCTCTTCCCCCCGCATCCCCTTCGGGCCCCGGGGACGGTTATTTCTGGCCGCCAGCTCAGGCAGGTGTGCGGCAGCCCCGTGTGCTTCTTACTGAGTTACGTGGCATGGTAGGATCGGGTGCGGTCGCCAAGGCTCGGCGCCAGCTTCAAGTCACTGGGCGCATTAGCCGCCAGTGAGAGGGTCAGCCCGGCCTTTCCTGGGCCCCTGGCCGTTGGCTGCAGCTTCTCCACAGCACTGGCTGCTTCCCCCACACCCGGGATCGAACCCGGGTCAGCCCCGTGCAAGGCCAGGGCCCTCCCCGCCGGACTGTCACTCCTGCCGGGTGCACGAGAGGCTGGTTTCCTTCCTTTACGTGCATGAACCAGCCCCTCCTGGCTTCCTGCTTCTCTCTCGGTGTTTCCAGTTCCCTCAGTCTGTTCAGAAGGGCCGCACTGGGCCTTGCTCTGAAGGGGGCTTCCGGGAAGGCTGTGGCTGGTGTGATCTGCCCAGACCACTCTGACTGAGAGAGAGAGAGAGAGAGAGAGAGAGAGAGAGAGAGAGAGAGAGAGAGAGACCGAGAGAGAGAGAGAGACCGAGAGACCTCCAGCTCGTCTCTCGCTGGGACACTTACAAACCATGGCTGGGTTCTGCTGCTGGCCTGATTTCAGGAGCATTGTGGCATGGGGGGTGGGGACCTCCTTTCCGAGAAGGCTGGCCGAGCCGTCCAAGGACACACGACATCGATTGGTCACATTCGCTGTCTTCTGAGCGCAGTCCCGGTCCGTAGTCCCTTCAGTGCTCTCTCCTAGAATTACAGTATCAACAGGGTTTGAAGTGTGCTGAGGATTGCCAAGCCGGACACTGAGGTCGTGAGCACTGTTGCTTGGGGAAACAGTGATGGTGTCACTGCTCAGAAAGGTGTAGCAAGGGGTGCCGGTGACCATGCCAGGCTAGCGTGACAGCGTTTCTGAAAAGGCTCAGAGTCGTGGAGACCATCAAATTCGCATCTGGTAACCCTGGTTCCTGCAACCCAGACGCATCAAAGATGGGGGCCGGAGAGGTGGTGCAGTGGTCAGACACGTGCATCCCAGCATCCCGGGAATTCCATCCCGGCATCACATATGGTCCCCCGAGTCTACCAGGAGTGACCCCTGAGCACTGCTGGGTGTGGCCGACCCCTGGTCCCAATCTCTGCAGACGGAGAGCGAGAGAATTGATGAAGATGAGCTTGATTTTCTCAGTGTTTCCTTGCTCGAGAGACAGAGGAGTTGGACACCCCGTCAGTGTCCTTCGCGCTCACGTCGGGTCGCCCGTGTCTTACAGGGTCACGCTGTTGGATGTCATCATCGCGAAAATCACCGGCGACGAGCCCCCCCTGAGGGAAGACGTCCCCGTGTTTCTGAGCCACGCCGAGTTGATGGCGAGCTCTTTCGTGGAGCAGTGCAAGATGGTGCTGGAGCTGGCCTCGGAGGAGCCCGCCGAGGACGAGGTGAGAGGCCGAGGCGCTGGGGCCGCCGGGGTCCGGTGAGCAGCCTTTTTAGAAGCGAAAGGAAGCGGAGCTGTGAGGCCTGCCAGCCCCGTGTAGTCACCGCTGAGGCCCGAGTCCCCGCCTGCTGGTCCTGCGGCGCCCGTGGCCTCTGGCCAGCGGCCCTGCAGAGACCCTCGCCCCACCCAGCCCGCCCAGGTCAGTGGTCCTCAGCCCCCCACGGCCAGGCTGCCCGCCCGCAGGCCCAGGTCGGCGCCGGTCACACGCAGAGATGGCTCCGGGGCTCAGTTGCTGCGCATGCAGAGGAAGCCGGGGCCTGAGGTGGGCGAGGCGAGGGCCGCGGGGCTGGGCGGGGCGGGGTGGCTCCTGCCTCCTGAGGCTGGATGGCCACCGCTGCCCTCGGCACCCCGCTCTGCGAGGGGACGCTCTTCCCCACCCTGTAGTCCCTTCAGCGGAAGAGGGGCGTCTTCCAGAGCGGCCTCTGTTTCCGGCAGGGGGGCAGTGAGCTTTGCTCAGAGAGCCGGGAAGGGAAGGAGAACTCGGCACGAAGGTGCAGCTTGGACACTCGGGCTTCGACCAGCCAGCACGGCAGTGACAGCGACCTGCTGTCAGTGACAGCGACCTGCTGTCTCTGTTTTCTTTTCTTCTGGTTGTATTTTTCCTCAAAATAATGTGGGGTTCTTTTTTTCCTTTAAGTGAGAAAGGAATTATATATCAATGGATAGAACTTAGAGTTTTCTTTTAAAAGCCCCAAAACATCACGTAGAGAAAATTCCTTGATCTGTGTCCTCGTGATTCTTCCTTTGGATAGGCGGGTTGGTTCGAGTTCAAAGCAAAGTCTGTGGTAGTTTGGGTTCTTCCTGTGCGGTCTCTTGCTGCGGGACCCAGGTATCCTTTGCAGCGTGTGGGACCCAGGACCATCCCCTCTGGCAGTGCTTTTGTCCCCGGGGTGCTGGGGGTCAAACTCCGCCTCCCGGATTCTAGGCAGGTGCTCAGCCTTTGAGCTGCTTCCACCCCAAGCAGTCGTTCGGAAGATGATCTTCCACCGCAGTGTTTGAGTGTCACAGTTGTACCCAGTGGCATCACAGAGACGTGGCTGAGCCTTGACTTCTGAGAGTTGGCCGTTGCTTAGAAATTGGAGAGCCGAAACCAGCTCCAGTGGAAATGTGTCGGATTTTGGTATTTCGGGTAAATGCATGTTCCCGATCGGGGCCTTTTCCTCTTCCTGCCCCTCCGCTTGCCAGTGAAGCCCAGTACCGCTGCGGCCAGCCTGGACGAGTGCTCTAACCCTGAGCCCCGTCTCGGGCCGGGTGTGCAGTGGTGCTCACAGACTTAACGCCGGCCACAGGAAGACGCGTCCTTACAGCTCTGAGGCATTGGCTTTGCTTTTCCAACTGGTGGTTTGTACCTTCTTACGCCCATCAAGCAGTATCTGCTGTTTCAGCTTTAAGATCCTGGTTTTATTAACTCTTTATAAAAATAGTCCTAGGTTAATAACTCGATAGATGAGGTTCGTGTACTTGTCTCGTTCTAGGCTTGTTTGGTGTCTATTCGTTGGTTCTAGGATGCCACATCTTTAAGATTCAGATTCAGTTGGGGGGGGCGGAGAAATAGCACAAGGCTTGGATGCTCTGACCCTGGTTCAATTCCTGACACTCCATATGGTCCCCTGGGCTTGAGTTCTCACCCTGCACGTGGAGGGGCGCGGCCGGGCTCTGCTCTGGGGTCACGCTGGCGACGCGCAGGTATGTGGTGCTGGGAATCGAACCAGGGCCCTGTGCCCCCAGACTGCCTTTCGGACCTGCAGAATTTTCTTTCAAGCATTTTCCAGTGATGGAAGTCTGTCTCCCCGCGACGGGGGGAGGGGTTCATATGTTCACACAGTCAGGCGCATGTTTTTCAGGTGGGGCTGTCGTCACCCCGTCTCCCTCGGGTCTCTTGTCAGCAGTCCCCGGATTTCATGCACCATCGGCCACGTGGTGGGAAACTTTCGTTTCCGGTAGTTAAATCTTTGTTGAAATTCATGGTATTCTTTGCAGTATATCTAGCACATTTTCTGTTTGTTTTTAATTCCAGGCGTGTTCGTTTTGTTCTTATGACTCCTGTTTTTTTTTCTTTTAAACATATTTAGTGCAACCTCTCTGTAGCGGAAATCCACTCTTCCATGTTTCTCTAGTCCGTAGACTGCAATTCCGACGAGCCTGAAGCTTGTTTCTGAGTAGGGGTCAGGCGTAGGTGCGAGTGGGTGTCCTTGGGCCATCAGATGGCCTCCGTCTTCCGGAAGAGCCCGGCGTTCCTATCTTGGCTGCTTGTGTTGCTGGGGCGAAGATCTTCGAACTTACCCTTCCGTTGCCCTGGTTTATTTGTCTGTCAAATAGGTTTCTTTTTAGTAAGGAAGTCGTATTACAAGGAAGAAAAGAAAACACACAGGCGAGAACCGGGTGCTGCCTGACAGAGACCTGAAGAAATCGGGAAGGACGTGGGCACCGCTGCTTCTCACTCACTGGCCGATCAGCCCTGCCGTCCCTGCTACCCCACGCCACAGTGCTGGTGGTCACTCGGGAGGGGGGGGGGGTGTGCCGGCCACGTGCTCTAGCCTTGGGGGCGGTCTCCCTGACACCTGAAATCATCCTTGTCTTCAGTCATCTTTCTGTTGGACTTTTGGGTCCCACCTGGCTGAGCCCTGTGCCTGGGGTCACTCGGGTGGTGCTCAGGGGACCAGAGGGTGCCAGGGACCCACCCCAGGATTCCTGTGCGCCAAGCGTGAAACACTCTCTGAAGCCACACTTGCCCTCATTGTCTGTCGAGTAGACCAGGTACATTTCAACCATGGAAAGCGAAGTAAGCTCTATTTTTTTTTCTTGCTTTTTGGGTCACACCCGGCGATGCTCAGGGGTTCCTCCTGGCTCTGCACTCAGAAATCATTTCTGGTGGTGCTCAGGGGACCCTATGGGATGCCAGGGATTGAACCCGGGTCGGCCGCGTGCAAGGCAAACGCCCTCCCTGCGGTCCTATTGCTCCGGCCCCTCGAAGTAAACTCTTCCCCCCACATCCCCCGAAGTAAACTCGTGACTCCTCCCCACCCCCGTCTTTGATTCCCAGTCTTCAAAGCAGAGGGCTGGTTTTGTGGTATCTTCCAGAGATGACGGCGGTCAGTTGTTTTGTTTGGCTCTAACCGTCACGAAGGCATGGCTGTGAAACCAGTGGGTCTGTTTCCAATCCAGTGCAGCTGGGATTCCGGCCAGTGGTCCAGGGTACCAGTGCTGGCCAGCGGCGCCTCGTTGCGAAGTTGCTTCTGGCCCTTTCTCTGACCCTAGAAGTCTCTGCTCGCCTCCTTGGTATCTGACAGGATGTCCGGCGACACCCTGGATGAACTCTGCCTGGGTCCAGACCAGCAGCTGTCCTCTGGCTGAGGAGGGGTGTCTGGGGGGGGCACCCACCCACGTGCGCTGGTACAGGCAGGCGGGATTACAAATGTGTTTTGTTCCCTTACTGTCGATTTTGAAGTTCCGGAATTCTAAGTCAAATGCTACCTGTAAGGCTGGAGAGGTCAGCTCAATTGGCAGAGCATGAGTTTAAGACTTGCGATCCTCCAAAGAGGAAAAGAAAACAACCTTTCACGTTTCCTGATGAAAGAATAGTAGAATCAGCCAAATAATGCAGAATGAACAAAGGGAGTGACTTTTATTTTGGAGGGTATTACTTTTAGAACTTAAAATTATAGCACCTACCACATTTCGTAAAACAATTCGTGCATTTGGAGGTGGGGGGATTCAGGCCAAACCCAATAGGACTTACTCCTGCTTGTGCACTCAGGGTTCACTCCCGGTGGGGCTTGGAATACCATACGCGGTGCCAGGACCGAACCTGAGTTGGCTGCAGGCAAGGGCAGCGCCCGACCTGTCCTGTCCCTCCAGCCCCCGAACAATGTGGACTTTCAAAATGAGCTTCAAAATGTGCTTCAGAGTTGCAATTTAAAAACTTCCTGGGGGTGGTGGGGCTGGAGTGATAGCACAGCGGGTAGGGCGTTTGCCTTGCATGCAACCGACCTGGGTTCCCAGCTGGGTTCCGACCCAGCATCCCATATGGTCCCCCAAGCACCGCCAGGAGTGATTCCTGAGTGCAGAGCCAGGAGGAACCCCTGAGCATGGCCGGGTGTGACCCAAAAAGCATATAAATAAATAAATAAAAACTTCATGGGACCTACTAAATTCCATGCTGTGGATATGCAGTAATGCTCTTTGCTGATGAGATATGACGTTCATCTCTAAACACATATAATGCAAGTTCTTGAAGTCTGCAGCCGAGTCTCCCGCCACAAGCACAGCATTTTACAGGATTCTGTGGACAAGAAATTCATTTATTTCTTGAGACGTTTGTTATCTTTGAAGTGGAACTTGCTGCTGGAGCACTTTGAAAAGAGTATCTGCATAGATGTGAGGTACTAGCTAGCAATTCTGAACATCTGTCCTGAGACCGACCCCGGATGCCTTGTTTGGCTCTTGACCCTGAGGGGACGCGTGATGGTTCCGATCGAGCCTCCCGGTGGCCGATGCCCGCGGCTGGTGGCTGGCCCGGCGTGCCTGTGCTGTGCTCGGGACCGTGCCCCGCAGTGCTCCGCTGACAGCTGGTTGTGAGGCCAGTCAGGTCGCGGAGGCCTCACGTCCTGTTTCCTTCTCGTTTAGGAGGTGCTGGCCACCATCAGGCTTCTGGACGTCCTGTGTGAGATGAGCACGAACACCGAGCTGCTCAGCTACCTGCAGGTCTTCCCCGGCTTGCTGGAGAAGACGATCGGTGAGGAGCCCCCACGCCTTCGTTCGGCTCAGGAGCCTGACTGACCGGGACGCCCGGCCACGCCCAGTCTGACCCGCTCGTCGTCGTTTCTGACTGACGTAGACCCCTGCCACGCCCGGTCTTCCCACACCCCGACGGTCCTGACATAGACGCCCAGCCATGCCCGGTCTTGCGTGTGCTGAAATTTCACTGGGGTTTTTACCCTGGTTTTTCTTAATCAGGGATCACGCTCTTTGGCTGCTACTCAGCCGTTTCCCTCCAGACCCCGGCTGTCGATGAGGCCTGTGCCCGTCACTCGGGCCGCACAGTGGCTGCTTCGCCAGTAGCGATTGTGGCAGTGAGGGTGCAGGGCGGAAGTGATGAGAATGGTGATTTTTACATTACTGTGGTTTTACCGAAAGTGTCTTTTGGGTTGGGGATCCTCCCCAGTCTTCTCGGGGGACCCAGGGACCTCTTCTGGCACATCCCAGCCAGCTGGGCCGGCGGGTCAACGCTGCGGTCCGAGGATGCTGTGGTGTTTGGGACCACTGGGGCCGTGGCCGGGTAGGGGCTGGAGTCGGCTGTATGCCAGGCGGGCACTCGGGCACCTGCCTTCCCGGCCTCGGTTTTAACGAGATTTCCTAGTAAATTCCCTCAGTTACAGCGCATGGAACAGGTTGAACAGGGCCTGACACATACTAAGTTTGCAGTTTTAAACAAGAAATATTGTGTGAAATATTCCCGCCTTCGCTAAAAAGCTGTCTGCAAAATAATTCGAGCGGAGTTGGTTCCTGTGGTCAGCCACACTCCTCTGGTTCTGTCTCGAGCGGATTAGGCCCTTCAGGAGACGCACGCTCAGGAAGACGGATCTGGATCCCGACGGGGCGGTGTTGGTCGTAAGCCGGGGGAATGTTTGGAATCTCCTATCAGAGTTTTAATTGGAATGCAGTGATTCTTTTTTTAAGTGAAAAAGTCGTGAACTGGAAAGTTGAATTCTTACGACAAAAGCGGTTGCGCTGGGCCAGACCATTCTCATGCGGGTGCTGCCCGAAACAGAAGCCCGCGAGCCTTTCCCTGCTAGCGCACTGGGAGAGACCCTGCCCTGGCTCGTGTCGTGAGGGTTCGATGGGATTCCAGAAACGAGGTGCATCTTCCGGGGAGGCTATCTTTCAGCTCCTGGCCCTCAGGCCAGGGCCCAGGCCTTGGCGGTGGGAAGACAGCATTAGTGCCGGTAAAGGCAGTCGCTGGAGTATCTGGGAGGAGCTCGTTCTGCCTCCTGGGTATCGGGCTCAGACCGGCACGCGTCTTGGTTTCTCTCAGGGCCCCCGTCTCGGTGGCCGTGTACCCACTGGTACTCCTGACTTACTAACTCTCCGGGCCTGGAGCTCCTTCACGGAGAATTCGGAAGTGAAAACAAACAAAAAGACGATGAAAGCAAAAAACCCTTCCTCCCCCACGTCGTTTAAAAATTAAATTAATTGCGGACTGGAGCAATAGCACGGCGGGTAGGGCGTTTGCCTTGCACGCAGCCAACATGGCCGACCCGGGTTCGATTCCCAGCATCCCATCTGGTCCCCCGAGCACCGCCAGGAGTAATTGCTGAGTGCAGAGCCAGGAGTAACCCCTGAGCATTGCCGGGTGTGACCCATAAAAGCAAAAATAAATAAATATTTTAAAAAATTAATTGGGCCGGTGGCATTTTGGTTTGGGGGGGGTCACACTCAGTTGTGCTCTGGGGTGACTCCTGGCTCTGTGCTCGGGGATCCCTCCTGATGTTGATGGGGAACCATCGGGGTGCTGGGGACGGATGTGTGCCAGGTTAGCGTCCTCCCCGCTACACTGGCCCTCCAGCCCCCTGGTCAGCGTGTTGGCTGTAGTTTGGGCTCGGTGGTCGCGTTCGTCCAGACTGCAGGGTTTTAATGTCCGGTCACTGTGCCCACTGCTCCCAGGTGCCCGCAGCCCTCCACCCCGTCCGCATCCATCCCGTCATTCCCCTCGCCCCGGAAAATCTTTTCCTAAGAAAAGTGGTGGAGACTAGGGAGTTGGTGGGGATGACTGGAGCACATGCGTGGCGTGTGGGACCCCAGATTCAATCCCTGGCACCGCCTGGTCTCTGGACTGCCGTGCTGAATGTGGGTGACACCCCTGAGTACTGGGTGTGGCTTCTAATTGAAGATGTCCAGCGGGATAGCATAGCAAGTTGGACACTTGGCCTGTAGCTGCGGTGGTCATGTTCCTGGCTCGAGTCCCGAGAAACGCAGACGGTCCCCTGAGCACTGCCGGGGGGCATTCCTGAGTACCGAGCCACTGAGCACTGCTGGGTGTGGCCTCCTGCCCCCCTGCAAAGGAAAGAGAAAGAAGGAAGATGGTGGGAGGCTTTGGGGCGACTTAGTTGTGGACGAGTAGGAAGTTTACATGTGGGTAATCCTTACAGCTTGTTTCCCCAGAACCAGAGTCATGAGGGAATTTAAAACAAAAATACCACCTTGTAGGGGCTGGAGAGGCCGTAGACAGAACCACGGGGCCCTCCCTGAGCCCACGGCAGGGCCTGAGCAGCTGAGCCCCGGTCCTCTTGTCCGGGGTTGGGCCTTCTATTGAAACTCAGTGTTGGCGTCTAGTATTATTTTTGAATTTCGGTCCATTGAGACAGCTGATGTTTGTTTGTGGGAAACTAGCACGGACTGCTCGCGGGTACAGCCCGTGGGAAACGTGGTTCCTGGTTTTTCTTGCAGATCTCTTACGCCTGATCCACATGGCTGGCGCCGACGGCACGAACATCTTCAGCACCTCCAGCAGCGTCCGGGCCGACGGGGACGTGTCCAGTGTGGTGGAGGGCTTCCGGTCCCACCTCATCCGCCTGATTGGGAACCTGTGTTACAAGGACAAAGGGAACCAAGACAAGGTCAGGCAGAATCGGCCTCTGTCGGGGCTCGAGCACGCGGGCGCGCGTCGTTGGCGGGGAGGCAGGGGGCGCGCTGCTCCCTGGGTGCAGTTTTGTGCCGATTAGCGCCCTCACCTGGGGTGGGGAGCAGCTGAGAAACCAGGGCTTAGCCGCCCTGAACGCCCTTCAGCACACAGCAGACACGCCAGAAACGGTGGTCACTGTCTCAGGGACGAACAAGCCCTCCCTTGGCGCCTGCCGTGACCGCCACAGACTGCGAGGGGTCTGGTTCCTCTCGGCCATGGACTGCAGTTAGGAACCTGCTTACTGGACGCTCATTGACTGTAGAACCCTAGTTACTGTGGCCCGTCATTCCCGCAGGGAGAAACCTTGTCACCTTGACACAGTCATTGACCGCAGTTAGGAGCCCGGTTCCTTTGGCCGCTAGAAGCCTAGTCTTGCTGCGTTAGTCAGCAGCGGTCCTATTCGTGCGGGAGTGACAGGAAGCCAGGAAGGCCCTTGGGCCCATCGAGCCCGCCTGCGTGTGCCTCATCCGGCGAATCACGTGTGGCGTGCAGCTGGAACCTTGGGTGAATTCTGTCTCCAAAATGATGCTCGTGTGACATGCAGAGCGCATCTGTGCCTTTGCCCCTCCCCCCCTCCCCCGAAGGGCGGGGGAGTTGCCCCGCCGGTCCTGGTGGAGTCCTTGACCGGTGTGCCGGCTGCAAGCTGCCTCCTGGAAGCTGGTCCCCCTGCTCGCCGGGCCCAGAGCGGTAAGCGGGGCTGCGCAGCCCATGTGGCCGACCGCTCCCGACTCCTGCCCGCGGCACCGTAAGGAAAGGGAGGGAGCGCCTGGGCGAGGTTGGCCGTGCGGGCTTCCTGCTCACGGCTATTGCCTGAGCAGACCGTCAGCTCTGGGCGAGAGACAGATGCGTTGAGGTGTTCCGATCTGACCCGTCAGAGGACGGCACAGTGACGGCACTTAAAACTCTGACAGAAAAGTCCTTTTAGACGAAAAAAAAATCATAGGACAATTTAGAGCATCCACGGCCATTTGCGAGAGAAACGTGTGTGTGTGTGTGTGTGTGTGTGTGTGTGTGTGTGTGTGTGTTGGGGCAGAGGGTCCAGAAAGGAGATCGCAAGTCCCCACTTTTCTCAGTCCCTGTGTCTTGTGTCTTGTGTCTTGTGTGAGGGAGCATCAGAGGTCCCAAAACTCAACCTGGTGCCCTTGTCAGGAAAACAGTCACCTGTGTCGCCCTTGGCAGTCTCCTTCTTTACATGAACAAAATCCATGGCCCCCCCCCCCCCCACCACCACAGTTGCGTTCAGGTTACTACTCACCCTACCCCCCCCCCCCACCTTGTCCCAGTGGCCCCTGGGTTGGGGAGCACTGTTACCCACATTGGGGAGCATTGAGCTAAGCTGAAGGTCCAGTGATCGTCTGAGACTTAGGCCGCAGGCCGGAGTTCACGGCTTGTGCAGCCCGCAGGGTCGCCCGTTCTCGTCGTGATGGCGGCGTATCCCCAAGAAACGTGACCGAGCCCCGGGTGTCCACAGCCCAGCAGTTGACCAAGTCCAGGATGCAGTTCGGGCTTTCTTGACCTAAGGAAACCGTGGCCTGTTCTCAGCCAAGGCATTGTGGACAGTGCAGTGACAGCCGGCCCTTGGCGTGGACATTTTCCACCCAGTCACAACTCTGAAGGAGGAGAGGGGAGGACGGGCGTCCAGGTGGTGAGAGGAGCCCGTCCCAGCAAACCCCAGGAAGCATCAAAAGCCCGAGGCGGCCTTCCAGCGCCGACAAATGTCACAGCCATGGGGAGAGTGCGAAGACTTTACGGAACCGACACAGCAACCCGGTAGAAGGCTGAGGAGACCCTGGTGCGCATGGAGGCGGGTCTGTGGACCCATCCCCTGAGGAGCAGAGGGGAGGGGACACGAGGCACACACGTGCGGCCTGTCACACGCGGCGGGTGTCGTTTCCACAGCCTCACGCAGCGGTGAGTGGAAGAGTACCGGTGCCCCTTGGAAAATCACCGGGCTGGTTTTCGAAAAGGGAGCGTTGCCAGAGCATAAAGCCCTTTGCCTTCTTGATGACCAACCTGCCTTTCTTCCGGAGCACAAAGGAGGTGGTTTTCCTGGTGTCGAACTGTGCTTTTGTTGCGGGTTTGGGTTGGCCTCCGGAGGAGGAGCAGGGCGTGGTAACCCTTGAAAGGCTCGTGGAATCCTCCGCTGGAGCCGGGGTGGGCTCCTCCCCGGGCAGACACGCGTGGGCCCCCCACCGCGGCCGTTCTGAGCCCAGGGTCCGAAGGAACCCGTTCTCTGAGGCTGAGCACGCCTCGGTCACTCGCGCATCCCTAGGCCATGCAGCGCCGCTGGCTTCTTTCCTGCCTCCTGGAAGCCTGGCACCGTTTCACCCTGGGTGTGCTGGCGGCGTCTTCCTCCCCGTGAGCCCAAATCCGACTCAGGACGGTGGCTGCGGGCCCTTGCCTGCTCGCGGTGGCCGCAGGTGCTGGAGAATCGCAGGACTCTGCCGGGTGCCCGGGCTGAGTTAGGCTGCGGGCTCGCCGGCCTCCCTCACCGAGGAAGGGGCGACTGACCCCTCCTGTCTGCTGTGTCTCGGCCGCGCTCAATGAGGGACGCTTGCTCCGCCTTAGCCTTTGCAGAGCTCACAGCCTGGAGGGTCTCGCGTGGCTCCCTGCCCCCTCCTGCCTTTGCTCTCCCCCAGGCCCTGGCACGTGTGCGCTGGGGGCTCTGGGGGGAGGGGGCTGGGGGGCATCGAATGAACATCTTGAGGCTGCAAGCCAAGCCCCAGGTGCCATCTCCTTCACCCAGTGACTGTAGCTCGGGGGCGATAGGACAGCCAGGTACCACTTCCTGTCAAGGGGCCCCTGCTCCCCCTTGAACCCAGGCGTCCCAAAGGCCCCAGGGACTCAGCTGTCCCTGACCGGTGCAAGCGTGGTAAGGAAGGCCCGTGGCACACTGGGCCCTCTGTGCTTGTCTGGTCCCTCTTTGTGATCCGTGGGAGACCCTGCCCCTTTGTGGCCCTTTCCCCTTCAGGGGCCTCGGTTGGAGGCTCTGGGCCCTTTCTCGGAAGAGACGGGAGGCTGAAGACGCTGAGGCTGGACTGGCCAGCGGGGGCTCCACGCGGCTGGCGTTTACCGAGCAGCAGCGTCAGGGCCTGTGTGTCCTGGCCAGAACAGTGGCGCGCGCTGCCCTCAACGGGGCGGACAGGGGCTCCGAGTCCGAGCCAGTGGGGGGTGCGGCCGCCTCATCTGGCCCGGCCCTGGAGGGTCTGTCCTTTGCGTGTACTCCGGTCGGCAAGTGCTTCTCCCAGTCTTCCCAGGCATCTCCAGCTCACGTGAGCCACTGAGGTGTTTCTGGAATCCTGGTGGGTTGGTGGGCTTCCCTCTCCCGAGTCCCGTGGGGCGGTGACCCGAGATGCTCATGACTTCTATTCTTACCCTTGTTTTTGTGCTCGACTTACATAGCACTTCCTTACTCTGTCTGTAGCGATTAGTTTAATCTTAAACCCTTGTGGGCCTGAACTGGAGACTCTGTTTTGGTTTCTGTGGCCCAGAGCACGCGGGTGTCAGTGCCGCGAGCAGCAGGAAAGCGTTCCCGGGCAGCGGCTTTATTAGGATGCGGGACGGACGCTTCGCTGGTTTCTTCCCTGTTCTTCCGTTCCTTGTTGTTGTAAATTCTGTAAGAGAATACTTTTTTCTTTATTTTTCTTTTTTTTTTTGCTTTGACCCGAGTTCGATTCCTCTGCCCCTCTCGGAGAGCCCGGCAAGCTACCGAGAGTATTCGATATGCCAGACACAGTAACAACAAAGTCTCCAATGGAGACGTTACTGGGCCCGCTCGAGCAAATTGACGATCAACGGGAGGGCCTTTACCTTTACCTTTACCTTTTTGCTTTGTGGGTCACACCCAGCGATGCACAGGGGTTCCTCCTGGCTCTGCACTCGGGAATTACTCCTGGCAGTGCTGGGGGACCCTATGGGATGCTGGGAATCGAACCCGGGTCGGCCACGTGCAAGGCAAACGCCCTCCCCGCTGTGCTATCGCTCCGGCCCCCTGTAAGGGAATACTTTATTAGAAGAAAAACCAGGCTTTTCTTCCGCGTGAAGCCCCGTGCGCTTTCTCAAGTGGACAGGCAGGCGTTTTCCTTTAGGTGCCTTGATTTCCCCCCGGAGGACTGGATGGACTAGACAGGCCTTCCCCTGCCTGACTTGGAGTCCCTCGTGCCGAGGGAGGGAGGCGCGCTGCTGAGTCCGCTTCCTCCTCCGGCACCAGAGAAGCATCCCGGGGTGTGCGCGGGTTTGCTCCCTGCGGCTCGAACACGCACAGCAGAGCCTTCGTGCAGGCAAGGGAGCACGTGGAAAGGAAGTTCGGTCTCACTTTGGCAGCTGATGAGATGGCCCTGTGCAAGGTGACACTCAAAGTCGTGAAGCACCCCACATTTAAAAGTAAGAAAGTTTGGGATGAGTTGGAAGGTTCCAGATGTGTACGGATAGGACACTTCTTTCGGCTCCCCCATTCAGAATTACATACTGCGAAGGTAGATTTACACACAAGAAGGCCTCTAGGATAAGGTTATTAAAATCTTGGCCCGTTGTGATGTTCCAAGCATCTCGGTTGTACCTGCCCCATGGGAGGCTTGCAGAACATTTTTCTGAAATGAGACTTTTTATTTTTGAACTATCTGGACAGCATTCTCTACATACTGAACCTCCCCCCCTTTTTTTTTTTCTTTTTTCTTTTTGGGACACCTGGCGGCGCTCAGGGGTTCCTCCTGGCTCTACACTCAGGAATCACTCCTGGCAGTGCTCGGGGGACCCTATGGGATGCTGGGAATCGAACCCAGGTCGGCCGCATGCAAGGCAAACGCCCTCCCCGCTGTGCTGTCACTCCAGCCCCTGAACACCCTTTTAGACTCTTAAAATATAAAGTAAATAAGATACAGTCCTGCCCTTCAAGAATTTCCTGATCATATTGGAAAAGACTTTTTTTTTTTTTTT